TATCACTGATGCTTGGGGTCGGCAGTTTTTCTGTGGAGGGAGGAAGGAACCTTGCCTCGTTTGTGTAGGCTGATTGGAAGAATTGTGAAAAATACGCAGCTTTATCTGTACTATCAGCAATCTCAAGTCCATCAGTAGTCCTTATTAAGGGAATTTGATGCCTGTTCCTCGAACTTCGTCGGAAGTAACTGTAGAGTAATTTTGGGTTCTGCGTTGCTTTTTGTAGCAAGTTCTTCTCGAATTCCCGTCGTGTCTTCATGATCAGGTTCCTCAGTTTGTTCCTCTGTGTCTTGTAGGTGTTGAAATATTGAACTTGCCCAGTGACGCCGTATTTTCTCCAAAATTTGTGCTTCCTGTTGAGTTCTTTCTTAAGGTTGCTATTTAGCCACCCAGAGCGTTTGTTCAGTCCTTCACTAGTCTGTGGGCAGTGGTTGTTGATGAGGTGCAGAAGGACATTCTTGAACAGCTCCTAGTCATCGTTGGCACTTCACGTAAACAATGAGCCCCAGTCAAGACCGGATAAGTCTGCCGTCATCTGATTGAAGTCGCCTCGCCAAACATTCCGTCTTTTTTGGTCTGGAGCATGTGAAATGGCGAATAACGAATTATCCCACATAAGCACTACGTGGTCACTTCGACCAAGGGGTGGCATGGAGATGATCTCGTCTATGCTGTCCGGTGTTTTCGTAAAAATCAGATACAGGCAGTTTGCTCTTTGTTCTTCACGTGCTCTCGTTGGGAACATTACATGTTGTGTGAGGGACGCCTTTAATGTTTTGTTCAGCAGATGGTAATCGAATGCCGATTTTGGACCTGACGCTTGGAGGGTGTTCCAGTTTGTTCCTGGTGCGTTGGAGTCGCCCATGATCATGATGTGAGGTCGACTGGAAAATTTCTCCAACTGCTCCAATAGTTGAGTGTCGGCGATTTGGTCTGTCCGAGGTGGTCGGTAGACAGTGAGAACATCGAGACACGGGGAACCGGTATCCTTTCATGCCGCACGCAAACTTGGTGGTGTTTTCGGGCACTGCCAGGCCCTCAGTCACATACACAACTATACCACGACCCTGACGATGTTCCCTGTCCATCCGATAAATTTGGTATCAAGGCAAGGCTATTTTGAAGGAGACAGGATCGCGGGAGAAGCGCTTTATTAGCCCGACGTTTCGGATTCCTACTCGAATCCATCATCATGGTCGTGTCTCCTTCTTCACGACTATTTCCTGGGACTCGTCTCTTCGCTTCTATTGGCAAGGCTATTTCGCTATCGTTAATATTCCCGGACAGTCAGGTATCGGTTACTGCTAAAACATCTGGAGACAGCTCTGCAAGGCAAAGTTTTAGCTCGTCTATTTTCGATATGAGGCTTTGGGAATTCGTGTACAAGCACCTCAATTTTGCACCAGCCGAATTTCCGTTTGCATTTGTCACTCTTTTGAGCATTTCTCCGTTTTCTCGGACGCAATTTTCTCTGGGCACTTCCGTTACCTGATGGGTTCCGTTAATGTCCGTTGCTTCAGTCGGAACAGTGGACGTTAAGGGCCTACTTGTGTTGTCGCCTTGAGCAGGTGGTTCCACGACTGTGCCTGTGTTAGCTGAGTAGCTGCTGTCGTTCATAATATTACAGGCTGTTTCCATTGAAATGGCATATATTTCCGAACTACCTTCACCTTGAAGATAGCCAGATTGTGTTTGCCCCCCCCCCCCTCAGTCTTGATTTTAACTCCAAGACGAGTTTCCGGCGTTTCAGCTGCTCCGCTGGGGAATAGTCCGGTAGAAAAACCTGTTTGTGCGTGTTTCTGAGGTCGGTTTTTTTAGAGAGGATCAAATTGATTTGCTCTTTGTTCTCCAGCATAATTCTGAGAGGGCGAGGTGGCAGTGCTGCTGTCCTGTCTTCACTCCTTTTTCCTATTCGTAATGACTTCGGAACCTTTATTTCCATGTCTGCCGGGAGTAACTGGTTTGGTAGACCGTGAAATTGTGACTCACTACGAAAAGATTGTGGATGACAAGGAATTTTACAAAGCCAGCTGTGAGAAGTCATGTTGCAAAAGACGATCTTTATAAAAATTGCGCGATCAAGTTCTCTTTTGAACGTAAGAATTGTTTCAGTTTTCACCATCTCAATTGGTAGCGAGGTCCATGCTCGACCTAGCTGTTGGATTAAGGATAACTTTCTGCGACCTAGTCGGGTACATTCGCTTTTTACTTTGCAGGGATGTCCGCGCATTTCATTTTTACAGGCAAATTGAAAGAAATCCCCCGGTTTCAGCAAGCAATCATAGCCATGTATGGTCCGGGATGACCAGAGCAGGCTGCAGCTTAGTGGCCTATAAGATAGAAGGAATAATTCAAGCGCATTCAACCTATCCTTATACGACAGATACCTACCACCATCGACCAGCTTCGTTTCTCTGCGTTGCGCTTGATCTAGGAGGCCAATATACTTACTCATCCATGGTGCAACCACTGGCATTTCATAATCTTGATGGGGTCCCAATAAATATCGAAAATTCATCAAAAATGTTCAACAGGAAACATTTCACATGCAGGTCTGATCTAGTGTAAAGTACTTATTGCCTTCATTTACATCATTTACTTCAACATATATAGGCAGAGACTTTTAAAGCCCTATTTACGTACATAGCTGTCACAGAGTTTCCCTTACAACGCCTGCTTTGAACGTCATCTGGCTAATTGCACCCCTAGATAGGGCAATTTACTGATGTACCTCCTCATCAAAAGGTGCCTCACCGTTATGCACGAAAATTAACAAGTTTGATAAGAGATTCGTATTATCTGAACTATCAGTTAAGTTATTTCCCTGACAATCCTTTAGACAACAGACGGGGTTCCAATTGCGCTTTGCCTTTTTCAAGTATTCGAAGAACTTTTTAATATTTCTTGACATTCGGAGTTCACAGCCGTTTGCTCTCTCCTCAGGATATCCGGACGCCTATTTCACAGTTTCTTGAATTCAGATAAATGTTAGAACATTTGACATCTAACGTATCTCATCCACAGTCCACGTTTATTTTTGAGATTGCGTTATTATTTCCAGTGACGCATTCAGGTCGCGAGACGTACGATATCCCTTTATGAGGGTTACATCTCTCCATCAGGTGTCCACTCACACGATTAAAGAGAAGCTATGCGGCGTTTGCGCCAGGTACACGTGCCGGTTTCCGGTCACTTTCACTCACTGGTTCTTTCATTTCGGATTTAACCACTCTCCCTACATTAATCTCCCTTACCGTCCGAATTTCGGGAACAAAAAAAGGACTGATATCCTGATTAGAAGGCAATGATCATTACGGCCAAGTAGAGTGTCAGAACTTAATTTAAGGATGCAATTTTCATCTCCGGTAATGATGAGCTCCAAACAGCTACGCTGCTGCCTATTTAGGAATCGTGTGTCCATTGTAACGTGTTGAGTAATGAATTCGTCAGTAACCGTTTGAGTTGATTTCTGCTCGAAAGAGTTTTACGATCGCGTGCAGTGCATCGATTCCCAATCGACGTCTGGGGAATTGAAATCTGCAAATAGCACTGCGCGTTTTCTGCGACAGGTTGGCTTTAATTCAGTGGTGGGTGTATCATCCCTGTCCTTACATTGTCCTGGGGTTTAAATACGAGGGCAATATGGAGATACGGGTGATTTGGCACTTTCAATTTGCAGCTAAAGATTTTGCAACCGGTGTTAATATTTGTTAAGGGCCTATCTGTGACGTAGTTAATGCCAACACGTAAGAACACCACGGATACTCCAAACTAACTTCCATTTTAATCCATGTGGATAAAATGAAGTCCGTCCAATGAGAGTTCTGCCTCCCCTTTCTGCGTATTGAAACCGTGATTTAGTTAAGGTTAAAAATAAAGGTTGAAGATGAGCCAGAGTTGGTTTGATTTCATCATTTTGTTGAATAAACCCTCAGAAAATTGATTGTGGGTCTTCGCGCCCGACAAGTATGGCTAAATATTTCGTATGACCTACCCAGTCCATTTTCCGGGTCCCAGTCTACAAGCATTTAATGGAACTGATAACCCGTATAGTTGTTGGTGAAGTTTGCAGGAAGGTAGGGGAGACACTCGGAAGGTTGAAGTAAGAATTCGACTGCTAAATGAAAAGCTTATTGAACTAGGTTAATTCGCCTGTCATAAGATCGTGGAACTTAATGCGTCTGAGGCAATCGGCCAGTAGTTTAATTGGCATCACATTGCAAGGATGCCAATGTCCACTTTGCATGCAACGTTGTGTTGAATGAATGATCTTATTTCCAAACAGTGCTAAACTGATTAGATTCGGTGCCTTTTGATAGGACAGTGATGTAGAATCATTTGCTAAATTAACAATCATCCCGTATCGTCTAAGTGGTCAGGATTATTGATTTGTCTTTTCTGCGGCCGACCGTCCACCATTGCCCTAAAAAATGTAGTCAGCATTTCTGCTGGGAATTAAAAACTCGGTTTGGCTTAAGTATAAATACACATTCTTGGTTCTTCAGATTTCCTTATCCACATTTTTCTTTACAATAGTCATACCTAATACCAAATTCGAGTTTAGGATGATGGAATATTTCGTGGAATTGGCTACTGTGCGCCTGAAAGTCGTCTAAAGGCCCAAAATCCATACCGACTTATAAACCCCCACGTATTCGGAAGGACAAGACGGATAAAAGGACAAACCATGGTTCAAGCTCGTGACGGTCACTAGAGGTCTGCTCGAAGAGAAGCTAAAACCGGGCGCTGTTGAACTCCCATGCAATGTGCAACTGCCAGACACCAATGCCCATCGGGCCAAACTGAAAAGCGTGAACAAAAACCTCATGCATAAAAATTTCGGTTGGGGCCTATAGACATTGAACAGACTGATCTACTTCAAGTTCGAAGTTAATTTCTGTGGAAATTAAAAAGCGACAACCTCAGCTTGTTTTAAATCACCTTTCGTGCAAAAGGCTACAAACAACACTCACTTGCAATTCAATTTTGTAAGCGGGGTGATGGCCTCTACGAGTGACCTTGATAGGCAGATCCAACAGTTGAGGGAATGTAAACTAATCACTGAGAACGAGGTTAAGGCTCTGTGCGCAAAGGCGAGAGAAATCCTTATTGAAGAAAGCAACGTCCAATGCGTGGATTCACCAGTCACCGTAATTTTCAGATTCTTTGAATTAATTTAGTAGGTTTGTGGCGATATCCACGGACAATTTTTCGACTTGCTTAAACTTTTTGAAGTTGGTGGCGATGTGCCCGATACCAACTACTTATTCTTGGGGGATTTTGTTGACCGTGGCTACTACAGTATTGAAACTTTTCTCCTTCTCCTGGCCCTCAAGGTAAGCGGGGAGATTTCGTCTACTTAAAATAAGGTCAGGTACCCGGACAGAATTACGCTTATAAGAGGAAACCATGAAAGTCGGCAGATTACAACGGTTTACGGATTTTACGACGAGTGCCTTCGGAAATATGGATCACCGTTGGTCTGGCGTCAGTGCACAGAAATCTTTGATTACCTTTGTCTTTCTGCAATAATTGAGGATAAGGTATGTTGTGCCTTATATCTTTATTTGCGGAAGTGCGTTAACTGCTTTCAGCAGAAAATTTGCATGTCCTACTTCATCTGAAATCTAAAACGAATTGAACCAATATCATTTGCCCACAAATGGATGAGCAGTGTGCTGAAACAGACCGTCGGTGGAATGCCGGGTCCACTTCATAGAACCATACTTGCGTTCGTAAAAATCGGCATATTTTACAAAATGGCGCGTTTGCAGTCTGTGTCTTGGATGTATTGTCCAATTTGTAAGCCCGGTAGACGAATTTGCGAGCTTGTTATCCCAGGCAGCGCACGACAAGCGCAAGGCCCAACCGATGCCATAAATTACGAAGGAGCGCTGACTGGGTTTCTTCCCCAGTGTGTTCGACGAAAGCTGTTCTGATCGCGCCGCATTGTAAGTATTGATAACGTCACAGTCCCAAGTACGTCAGTTTGCCAGATGGGCCTAACAGCAGCCGGCACTTTAGGTTGCATTTACTGGGGAAGTTGTTACCCGTTCACTTACACTTCTGTCTTCTTGTTACTCAAGTTATACCCCATTTCTACCTGATAGACTGCCCTCTACTCTAAGTTCTGTCTTTTCCAATTCCACTCGACATTTATTCCAGGCAAACTTAAACACTTTAGTTTCTAGGACTGATGGTCTTCCAGTTGTAATCTATGTTTTGTTGCCCTGTCTCCGCTTGATGTGTATATTCACCTTTTTCGCTGATCGTAGTCTTTCTGTCCCACGGGTGGCCTTGTTGTCTAGGACTGCGACAGCCAGATTTTCCACAAATATAACCGCTCTGCGTGTCCTCCTAGTTTTTTTTACAGCAATTGTGCTGCTAACTATTACCTTCTATTTCCTTCCATGGTTGTTATACCACCAAACAGATAATTTTGAAGTCGACTATGAAATTGGTCAAGTTGCAGCCCACACTCAGTTGTTGTTGATAACTGTCCTCCATATCTGCCTAGAAGATTCCTCTAATGGATGTTGATGATCTAGCGCCACCAAACAAACAAAGGTCTATAGGCGGGTAGCCATGATGCGAGCATTCATAAACGCCGTCTTACTTGGGCTTAGCCCTTCCATGTGTACTTTATCCAACCACAGAGACCAAGTTTTGGCTCTTCTGTTGCCGACAGCACAGTTCCATTTTTTGCTGAAAAATTTGAACTTAGGATTTCAAAATAAGGCGAATCCCCCCCCCTCTCTCTCTCTCCCTCTCTCTCCCCCTCTCTCTCTCTGTCTCCTCTCTCTCTTCCATATGATCGGCAACTGACCATTACGTTCTCGTCCGTTGTTCGCTTATAGTCCATTCTCAGAAACCAGTTACTACCATGCCCAACTTTGATTTCATTGTGTTAGTCCCACGCCAGTTGTCCATCACCTCAACAGCGCTAGTTATGACGGGGGTTTCAAGCGACTACTTGGTAAGGTTTGCGCTTGTGCTGCCGAAATGCATGATTAAACACTTTGAGCATCAGTTTCTCGTGCCCCTAGCAATAGACATTTGTGATCAGTGGTACACATCCGCGTCCGGAGTATGACCATTTGAAACCATAACATTATTTTCGAGAGCTTCAGTTATCAGAAACCTCGGGTTGTTTCGGCTAATAAACGCACAGGAACCACGATTAGCAACTTTGAAGCAGAACAGTTTACAGCGCGACTTCGAACAACGAATCCAGATAAACCAGCTGGTCATATAAGGACTCATTGCAGCTAGGACAATAAGCACACATTCGGTGAGTTAAGTTTCGCCAGTTCCGGTTTCAAACCAAGCCCAAGTGTCCGCAAATCTTCAATAAGGGCAAATTGCGCTTCCCTTTGAAGCATTCAAGCGGGAAAAGGCTCAGAATGGTAGGGATGCGAGGAAACCAACTAGTCATCCGATCGACTTTGTGATGAGAATCACATCTATCACACAGTCAATAAGGGGTGAAGGAAAATGCTTGTCGGACACCAGCCTTGGTAGCGCAGTGTTCCTCCCTTCAGCCCAACATCTTTATTTTGCGTAGACAGGTGATGTCCCGCTCGATAATAGAACCAGTTCACGGGCATCCCACCAGTCGCGCCGACTGCAAAGAGCACTTCAGTCGGAATCAAAGGAACATAGTAGTGCACCATTCGTCGTAGTGAAACTGGTTTTCAAAAAGCCAATCAAAGTATAACCTCCCGGGTTTTCCTGGCATATCCGTCCCACGAGCTACTAAACTCACCTAGGAAGCTGCACACCAAGGCATCTTCGATAGTGTCGGCTGGACCGACCTGACACTTCAATGCGTTTTCCTGTTCCTGCAAGACAATTTTGCTTTGTACTTGACCCGACTGATCGTCCACCAACATCACCCTGTGCTATGACCTTTGATATACTACAAGCTGCATCTTAGAATCCACCAAACGCGTTCTGCCCCCTTCACCTGCAGTGAAGCCACTCCGAGGTTTCGACAACTACCTTATCACGCAAGACCGTACCAAGTTAGGTTTCAGACATATCGTCTTAGTTATGCGTCCAGTTAGGTGTCGCTATAGCATTCTCTGAACACCCACTCATTTCCGTCTTTTTGTTACTAAACTCCATAATCCGCAACAATAGTCGAACGCTTTCAGGATATGTATCAAGGGAATATCTCCCGTCTACAAATGACCGTGCCGAGTTCAAGAAAGCGTTGAAGTTTAAATATGTCTGCATCACTGGCGTTCTTGTGTCCGACGCACACAGCAACTGCTGAGAGATGGTGACGGTAAACTCTCTTACAGTATGTACGGTTAGTGGCGAACTATATTTGGTGTCTTTCCGCGGGAATTAGTACAAGTATGACCGTATCCGCTCCATCGGAGAAGCTCCTCACGATTATTTGTCTGTGAAGACCAACACAAGTGTTAGGACACTGGACTTCACCTGAGGTGCTACCTATGGACGCCTTGCTTTTGTACTATCGACGTTCAGCAGGAGGAAGGTCTGCTTTCATGCAGCGGTAATCTGCAAGCGATTAACTATGGGAATTTTCAAGGAGTCTGAAGTGCTCACAAGCGGGAGCTGTGCGATCGCTGTCACCATAACAGACAGTCATTTGATGCAGGGAATTTATGACTGAATTGGCCGACGTTATAAAGTCGTCGAATGTCGTTTCTTCGGCCTAACCATTCCCGTGGGTTTCTGTCTCTAACTCTGCCTTCATTTTGTAAATCTGGCGATATAAGTCACTCCCAGAGTATCTGTAGCTGTACGGTTCTGTGGGCCATTCAATAGCCTTGCCAGTGACCGACGATCGTTACACGGGCGGATAGGCTTCTCATTACAAATCTCTTGGATCAACAGGGATTACGGTCGCTTCGAGAACACGACACTAAATTATGCTGATAGTTCGGCCAGATGCAGCCTCTGAGTCATCATAAAAACACACAGATGCTGAATCACGGGCACTTGATAGTGCATGCCCAAGACGTAGCGTTCACATAGCAGTGAAAATTCGCGGAGTTTTTGTTTTATTTATTCATGTTGATATTTGAGTGTGCAGTGTATAGTTTGGAACTTTTAGCAGCCTAAAGCTGACTTCCGAAGTCAAGTTTGTTGGGATCCACAGCATTCATTTTTCATTTAAACGTTTTTACTGGAACATGTTAGTACTTCGCACTCCGATTACCTACATCCACCATAGTCGAGCCATTTCAAACATATCTTGACCATCCTTCCAAATTAATTAGGACGCCAACGTTCTTCCCACAGATCCGCCTTTTCAAAAAAGGTAACTGCCGCATTTTAGATATTTTGTGTACACGGTGGTCTCTCCCCCCACATTGAGACGCTCGACCAAATTCGCACCATCGACCGCAAACAAGAAGTCCCCCACGAAGGTCCAATGTGTGATCTCCTCTGGTCAGATCCCGAGGATAACAACGGCTGGGGCGTCAGTCCCCGCGGAGCTGGATTCCTCTTCGGCGCGGACACTGTCGCCAACTTTAATCGGGTACGTTTATGAGCCGTGCTTTGTAGTACCAGAGAGCATAGCCTACCCCTGCTCATTTAAGTTAAAATCTCATATGAAATTAAGGGACAGCTAATTGTTGGCATTACACCAAGTTCTAGAATGAAGAAACATTTTTCTGATTGTTCGTAAGCTATCTGTGTATCCTGCGTCGTAAATGTAATTGAGCGCACAATTAGTACTCACTATCGTCTTAAACCTAATCAGACACCGAGCTAGTTGGGACTACTTGCTCTCACTATAACCTTCGCAATCAATTTCAGAAGTTGGATGTCAAATGATAATATTCCTTGAGTAGTTCATTTTTTGTCGGGCAGGCAGACTTTTCCCATGTTGTACGAGGATCATTGACTCTGTTCCTAAAGCACGCAGTCTCTAATCCAGTTTCCGGAATCCTCCTGCCCAAAACGTGGGAATCACGCATACCACGTCGAATAGTGCGTTGTGGCGTAAGGTTTTAAATCACTTAATTTCCAAAGCAGTTTTTCAAAGGACCTGACATGGTGGTTACTGCGGCTGCCAAGAACCAGCGAGTGTGCGCGCTCAAGTGAGCTACCCACCACGGGGTGCTTTATCGTTTTTTTCTACCTTTAGTTAAAATGCCCTTGACAGGCAGTTTGCGTTCTCCTAATGCCGATAGTGACTTTTTTCTGGCCAACAGACGTAAAGATGCGAAATTGCGCAGTCAGATTTCCCCTTTGAGCTACAGCGGTTTAACGCGGTTTCTGTCTGCAGACCATGTACCAGTATCGCGGGTGTGTTTCTCCGCGGTAATCGGTAGCCATGATCACCCCTATCACGCTCGTGTATGAACTCGTAGGAGACCGTGGACTTCAACGGGCTATGACGTTAGTGGCTTCGAGGGTCCGGACTTGTCCGCAGCGGCCCCGGACGTGGTATAAAGCCGCCGTAAAGGTCCGACACAACGGCGTCATTCGGGGCCAAAGCTGAAATGTTGTAGCCAGTCCTATCATTAAGGTTGCTACCGTTGCACTCTTGTGGTATAAGCGTTCTTATGATACCTGTTAGTATATCAGTCTCCCCATCAAACCGCCTTTGTTTGTACCGTGCTGTGTTAACAAGACGCCGGGCGTGTTTCGACCGAAGCGTGGGTGCGTACGTCAGCGTCCCCAGTCCCCTCTACCCTTCCGCTAAACCCCGCAAATGCCGGCACTGTTGTCGGCCGCCCGTCCCAAATTTGACTTTGTTCATTTAGACCAGACAGTTTGACCGTCGGATTCGACGATGTCCGCCGTGTGCTCCACAGCCGTGTGCTCAGCATCTGCCGCACTCTCTCCTCCCCTGCCTGAGCCCGCTGTCAAGACATAGTCAAGAGGACCGATGGCGGGAGAGGACGCAGGTGGCTTGCACGGCCGAACCTGCACTTAGGCAAACCCCCTGGTCCACAACGAACACTTAACCAGGATTTTAACTAACAAAAAATGGGTCAAAAAGAAGAGGATGACACAAATCACTGGACAACTATGCACACGGCCTGTATACCCAACGGGAGCGCAAGCACACCCACCGGCAGGAAACCGGGTGCCAGCGAACTGCCAGCACACACTAGGCTGCGATGGCCATGGTTTGCTGAATCGTAGCATAGCAGACGCATACAATCCATATAGCCAATCCAGACCCTATGCGGTCAGACATGTCGCTTGGTAATGCCACTGAGTCTACCAGATGAAGGATAATGGAGAGTTCTTAAACATTACCGCCAACTTCTGTAATGGCTGTACTCTTCTACTAATGTTCAATTACGGCTGTGTTTATCAACAAGCATTGGAAAATAACACCAGACCCTGGCCGACAGGTGCTAGTGGCCGGACTTGTGAAAATACCCACTCAAGGAGCGTATTATTCCATGAAGTTGCGTCGGTACATATCCGCTTGCCCATGTTATTGGCCAACTACTTCCTGATGTCGAACTCTGCAAAACGAACAAGGTAACAACTATCACTCGTCGGATCAACGAGTTGCGTGCAGTCCTGTCCGGATCGATCGTAACCTCCGGATTCGTTATGAGACCAGCCATAAAACTAGATTTCTAGTACACGAGGCTGTCGTCACGACAGTCTTCCCTTTCGGATGTGAGACAGCCGGACAGTGTAATCAGCAGTGTCTGTGCTCTGTTTTACGAGCCTATTTTACCTACAATCTCTCCGATAAACGACTATATAGCCGGCTGGGACCAAATCGGTCAATTGCGCCACCCTCCGTCCCTTCATACAGTGAGTGACCGATTTCATGGCCGAAATCCTGAAATGCGTTTTCGATTAGGTAGGATTACTTTGGCGGGGTTGTAATACTGCTTATCTTGCAGCATAATCCTGTAATATTTCGGACTCGGCAGGATGTCAGCTTTTGAACACACTACTTTTCAATCTCCTGTAGAAACCGAACTCGGTAAAAACGACTACTTATGTAGCATGCGTTTTTCACATAAATTTTCTGTGGTATTGCAAATTCAAATATATTTTATAGAAATCACGAACAAACGTATGTTTTTTTTTCAGTCGTTTGATAATCACGTCATCTTTTTATTTTATACTCGAAAAAGGGATACAATTAGGTATCAAAAATGTTCCAAATTATGAGATTTTTTAGGACTGTGCAATATCCATCCATGCAGCATCGTACCTGTCCGTTTACCACTGCTCCGCATGAAATGTACAACATAGTCCGCATCCACTGCAAATTTTTATGGACTCTTTATGGTATCTTTTTGAAGACATAGAAGATTATGTGATTTTCCTTACACCGAACAAATGCACCTTGTAGGCTGAAATCACTAAACGCTGATGCAACGGCTGGTCAGGCTCCAAATTATAAGGGAATTAGAAAACTTTCAAATGCTAAGTATATCCCTTCTTTGAGCATGAAATATAAACTTGACCTGATTCTCTACCAAACGAGTAGTAGAAAGCATATTTTTGTTTAGTCATTTTTTACCGAGTACGGATTCCTACAGAGGATTGAAAAGACGTGCATTCAAAAGTTGACATCCTGCCGAGTCCGAAATATCACAGGATTATGCTGAAAGATAATCGGTATTACAACCTCGCCAAAGTAATCCTTCCTAGTCGAAAACGCATTTCAGGATTTCGGCCAACATTTCATGAGGTTGGTCACTCACTGTACTTGGATAGACTGGGTTACGTGTTATGCCAACCTGAAGGCAAAATCTTCCGGAATATCATCTCAAGAAACCCATGCCGTAAAAGTGTCAATTAGACGCATGGGAGTACGCGGTGGAGGGCACCTTCCAGCGCGCCTCTGACCACGCCCTTCGCGGCTTCTGCGACCAACCCACCGACGGGTTGGACTTTGCCTATGTGTGTGCGTGTGCGCCATTGGCTGACTGTGAGGCAAGGCGATCATTGACGGTGCGGTTAACTAGCAAAATTGAGCTGGTAGACTCAAACGCGACCTCCATCAGAGGTCAACTGTTAAAATGAAGACAGTCTTTGGAAATGGACTTCTTACCCTTCGTTAGATATCGGTCTTTTCACGCTGTACGGGGCGAGATGGTTACTAGAATGAGGATGCATGTCCAAATTAATGAGATATTGACCAAAATCTCTAGCTGTGCTTCAGTCCAAAAATAATCATTTGGTGGGTTTTTTTAAAGAAAGGTTAAACACGACACGTGCCGACTGGCACACACTGACCCATTACTTTTCGTTTGGAAACAAGCCTATTAAACTTTGCCAACCACACTTGCATGAAATCGTCGAGTAAATAGTTTGGTATCATACGGTATCAGACACCTTTGCATGTCTCTAGGACTTCGGAGCTGAATGATATAGGCGTACTCCGAAAAATCCTCCGTCGGTGTTTTTACGATGAGACATCCTCCATATATCTCGCAAGCAGGCCCACTAAGTACGCGTTTGTAAAACGGCGTGCGTTTGGTCGTCTCTTTTTCAACTGAAATACTGCCCCCTTTTGAAATTCCCTAACCAGCGACTATGATGAAATAAGTTTTTTTTCACCCAATTCTAGGAAGACTTAATGACCTTGTAATAACACCGAGTATACAGTACTTAAGTAGAATTCGCTTCAGGTACGGCCCTCTCCAATGGAAAATTAACGATTCACCAGTTTATGTCCCATACTTATCAACATTGCATTCCACCGAGACCGCTGACTTTTTTATAGTTGGGCCAAAATTAATCATTGAAAACATCACAGAACACCTTTTAAATGCAACTTCCGTCATCATCGTTTGAGGATTTCGGCCAGCATTTCATGCCTCTTTTGATTCGTGATGCGTGTAGGTTTGCATCCGACCATCTGACCGCAAATACTTGGGGAACAGCGTGCATACCATTGACGACGTGCTCACTAGCAATGTGTGTGTGCGCATCCCATCAAACATTGCCAACCTTCAAACCCCATTGCGTTGTGTGCGGACCAACACCGCCTTTTCCGTTCAGGTTGGCCCTGCTTAATGGCGAAATCAAATTACCCTGGCAATAGGGCTGCCTTGACGTGTTGTTTTGCTGATAGAGGTGTGCATCCCGCCGCCGCCGCGATTTTTCCCCACGGCTTGCCGTCGATGATGACTTAAGCCACCATGTTGCAAGCCAAATGCCCAGCGTAAATTGATATTCATCTGTGGGCCTACGTGTTCCTGCTGTAGCATTTGGGGCCGGAGACGCCCCTTCCAAAAGGCAGTCTACTCCGCGTCCTTTCCTATTAACCCCTTTTGATCATAAATAGATTCGACTTCAGTATTCATATTGTCGACTACCTGCTAAACGCTTTCCCTGTTTATGCAGGTGAACGATTTGGATCTCATCTGCCGGGCCCACCAGCTCGTCATGGAGGGTCGGAGGTGGCACTTTAACAAGACCGTCCTCACTGTCTGGTCAGCGCCAAACTACTGCTACCGTTGTGGCAACGTGGCCGCCATATTCAAATTGGACGAGAACCTAACCCAGGACTTTGCCATTTTTGAGGCAGCTCCCCAGGTCAGTTTCCTGACTCAAATTATTCGCTCACGCAAGTTTGGAATGCCCAAGGCGAACAGCCTGCGGCGGCTGAGATCTGCGTATTTCGTTCTCTGTAATAGGTTCCAGTCATTTCCGCTAGGGAATACTCCTACCATAATCTTAATTTTGCGGAGAAGGCGACACGATCGTTAGAACAAGTGCTTTATTAGCCTGACGTTTCGGATTCTCATTCGAATCCATCATCAGAGACAGAGTCAGATAAGGGTAGTGGATTGCCCAGGTGTTGCAACATTTATAGGATGTAGTTGCTAGACCGTCACATGCCTATCACAGTTGGCAGCTCCCGGGGGCATCACAGCTCGACCGGCCGACCCGTGATTATCTGGTGTGAAAGAACAATCTAAAATATCCGCGCTTAAGGGAGGGGGGGGGTCTGTATTAAAAAGCAGCTCTGTAGTTCAGGAGAAATCTATTGTAAAAGCAAGCCTCTTGGAACTTGGCACCCACACCGAAGATGTATCTTTCAGCAGTCAGTTGTCATCTCCCGCTGCTTTACGTATTCCTACTCAGCGTATGAATTCCAAAACTCATATTGACCCAACTGTGAAAAACTCGGCGCTTCGGTGGAATTCGAACCCACGCAGTAAGGGGAAGGCTTTAGTACAGCCAACGCTCAAACCACTTGAGCTACGAGGCTCCGCCGGACGACGACATTTGGGTCAAGTTACCCGCCCAACCTACTGCAACGTCTGGAATCCACCAAATCTGATACAGTAAGTTGACTGCCTAAACAGGATTTCCTAAGTAATTCACCTAGAATCTACCAGATGACTACTAGGCTCACGTAATTCTCAGATGTTTTGGCAGATTTTAATTAATTCATAATATTCATAAACTCGTGGCCTCGTAGCTCAAGTGGTTAGAGCGTTGGCTGTACTAAAGCCTTCCCCTTACTGCGTGGGTTCGAATCCCACCGAGGCGCCAAGTTTTTCCCAGTTGGGTCAATATGAAGTATTCAAAATCTGCCAAAACATCCATGAATTCCAAAACTATTGGGCAGAGTGATGGTAGCTGCGACCACATACAGCCACCATCACTGGTTACTTTCTTCAGTCGTGTACTCTATATTCCGGTCTAGGTGAGATGACCGGCAGCCCCGAAGAACGTAGTTTGGCCAGCGTCACGCATTAGGCTTCTTATCTTGTTTACGATGACCATGAAAATACTTATGCATAGTAAACTCTCCAAGATTATATTATTGAGTTTCGTACTGCCTTTTCAATCAATGAAGCTGGCATTGGTCACTCACGCCCTCCCCCGCCGGTGAGAGGGTGGGCTGGAATGTAAGCGACCTCCTGATTATCCCGGATTGCTTGTCTGCACGTGTCGCTAACGCTGGCTTTTGTTCCTCATTTTCAGGATAACCAACACTTCCCGTCCCGTAAACCTATCCCAGACTACTTCCTCTGATGTTTTGGGAATTAACTGGCTTAATGTACAGAAAAGGAATCTCATGGGCCCCAATCCCCGGAATTTTGTACATTTCTCACGCGTCGTTGCATTCATGTACCTTGTTTGCTGGCGCCCCTAACCCCCCCCCCTGAAGTCCTCTTAACGATCAGTTTTACATCTTGTGAAGTGTAAAGTACACGTGGATTTATTGTCTTTGTTAAAGAAAAAGTTGTCAAGAACTACTTTTAATCATCAAACAGTTTCGATACCGCGGGGAGTCAGAAGAGAGTCGCGAGAGGTTACCAGTGTGCTCCATGTAGTTGGACTGTGAGTCGAAGTAGGTCTCGATGATTGGCATAGAGTTCCAGCTCAGAGCTGGCGTCCGTCCATCTGACAGCACTCGCGTCGTCGCCTGTGGTGGTCATTAAGATAATTGGGTTATTGCGAATAGAAAATAGTGCGCCGCAAGTGTCCAGCATTCGTGCTGTGAAGGACGGGACTGTGTTGAGCATAGGAAAAGTGGAGAGAAAAGAAGGAAAGATGGCTTTTTTGGTCACATCCGCCTGACTTAAAGACCCTCGCAGAGCGTTACATCGGGAGCACTCATGAGAAAATCATCGACGGTGAGATGGGTTACCGCCCAGGCGTAAACAAGTCTGACACTGAACAGAAGTTACCGCCGAGCTGCTTGGTGTGGTCTACCAGAACCTTGAGTATTCCCACCGAAGTAAGGTCTCAGAAGATTCAATGGTCAGAATCGGGGAGTCGGGGTTTCACCCCCCACAATGAGTGGTCGATTTCGTCTAACACTACTTTTGAACACAGGATGACGCCTATCCTGTTGAGTGGCAAATCGGGATGGCCCGCCCGAGGTACAGTTAGTGACCTGACTCGTGAAATGTGTCGGAATTTACGGATTATTGCCAATCACAAACTGACACTTCCATGAGTCCAATGTATATGTTAATTCAGTAAAAGTTTAGAAGAATTAAAAACAAAAAAGATACATTAAAGGCAGTGTTAGGTCATCTAGAAATGCCGATTTATTTTGAAAAACGCAATATCCCGAAAACGTCAGAGATGGCTCTTAATTAATAAAATTTGTGTTTAGATGTATAGAATGTATTCTCATACCAAAAACGTAGTAAATATGAAAGTAGAAGTAAAATAACGTCCAACGTCATTAGGACGAGTGGAGCCGCTTGGAAGACCCGGTAGGGATATTGACCTTGGCTGTCAGGTGATATGATTCGAACGACGGCTCATATTAGGATACGAGAAGGGCTGAGCATAAAGAGAATGAGGGGTATCCCACCAACCAAGCTCTCTCAGGACGGGTGCTGATTGGTTGGAGCCGTTTGCGAGCACTGGGTTGTTCCTTTGTTTGAGTGCTTGGATTTGCAGAGGCAGTGGACATCCGAAGTTCCTAAAAAACTCCACGGTGCCACCACGCAGCGCGCATGGCACAGAATTACTAACACGAATGCAATATCAGGGCTGTTCTGCAGACGGAGGCCAGGCCTTGAGACAGAGTGAATGCATTTTGGGTTAGACCTGACCGCCGTTTTTCGCAGGCCGAGTCACATGGGTGAACTAGCAACACGCGATCGTCGAGGGCAATGAAGACTCGTGTTAGCAAGCGCACGCTGGGTCATTACTGCCCAGCGTCTGGCTGAGAGCTTAGTCCCCATGGTGGGGCGACCTCCTACTGTTCATTCATCCATGGTAAGAGTCATCAGCAGTTGGGCTATGATCAGTACACGACGATGACCTTTATGAGCAGAGGTTAAGTATTCCCGCCCCAGAATATAATTGGTCGATGATGGAAATGACTATTCCAATCTCCTTTGGTCCAATATTCTTCACCAGCAACTCCCTTTCTGAAGAAACAGTGAAGTTAGCGGGCAGGTAAGCGCGCGTTTTGTATGCATTATCGGAAATTTTAAAAAAGGGAAGACTCGTAAGTCAAAATGAAGGAAAAATACTGTATGGAACGCTAAAAGACAAGATTCCCGACCAGAGCTTGCGCAACGGCAGGACATGGAACCCAGACAACAGTGATAAAACGGCAGCTGAACTGAATGTGTTGTCTCATTAGCCACAGATGACTCGATGGCTAGAAAATGAGCGTCACTTGTGGGGCATTTCGGAGCCACCGCCCAGGGGAGAGGAAGATTATAATTTTTAGGCTTGGCCCGAAAGTTGACGTGGGTAGTTAGGTTGAAATTCACCAGCTATTGCGGAATAACCGTGCAATATTCACAAGCTGCTAACAGGCCGTCAGTAGTATACAAGTACTGGGTGTTCTACGATAATACCCACTTAAACATTCTAGAAGTCAAGTTCGGTAAACGTACGCTTTCCACTATTCATCCTCAGACCTGTACAGTAATTTAAGCTAATTTAAAGCTTAGTAGAACGTCTGATGGGACATTTCGTAGAGGTGTATGTCGCAAGAAAACATGGAAGCGGCAATACACAAACTTCTACAGTTTTTTCCCTCTAAGTCAGAAGCGAAACTTAGTCCGCTGTCTAACAAACTGAGCCAGGGGAATATACACGCCGGATACGCCGGAGAAGGAAATGGCTTCTATGTGAAACACTCCAAGAAAATATTTTTCCCGATAAGTTTATCCCGTGATAAGTCGAAGCGTGCGTGCCAACGGCGTAAAAGACGGGGACTCGGCCAGCGAACTTCTACAACGTCGATGAAGCTCCGGTACTGCGCGCATGTACCCTAACCACCAAGGTAAGACCAATTTCCTCAAGCATGCAGCGTCTTCAGCTTGAAGGTATGGATGGGCTGTCCTTTCAAAATTCTCTACTGTGCATGTACGCCTTCACTTACTTCTGGGGGACGGGGGAGGGCGAACTAGATGTAAATACTTTGCAAAAAAGCTTTTTGAGCTTGCTCAGAAAATCGATATGGATGTTTGAGCTGGAATTCACCGGCTACCACGGAATATCCATGAAATATTCACAGAATTACATAAATTCTGGCTTGTTTACGATACGGACAGCACAGGTACTAGCTAAAAGCCCAGAACAGCGTGTCTCGATGAACTCGTGCAGTTGACAGGGTGGCTTATCAGTTTGTCCTTCAGCGTCCCCGAGGCCAGCGTGCCAATATGGTCAAAAGAAAGGCAAATAGTTACCTGAGTAAAAACGACTACTTAAGTAGCAGGCATTTTTCATACTGATTTTCGACGGTCTTATAAATTCAAAAATATTTTATAAAAATGTGAACAAAACCTAAGTGTACTATTTCTTCGAGTATAAAATATGAAGTTGATGCGATTCTCCATCAAAATAGTGGACGAAAGCATATCTTTGTCCACATTTTCTATAAAAATACTTCTGGCTATATAAGGCCGTCAAAAGCCAGCGTGAAAAGTGCATGTTAATTAAGTAGTAATTTTTTACCGAGTACGGTTTCTACAGGAGAGTGAAAAGAAATGCATTCAACAACTGACATCCTACCCAGTCTGAAATACTATAGGATTATGCCGCAAGCTCATCCGTACTACAGCCCCACCTAAGTAATCCTTCATAATCGAAAACGCATTTCAGAATTTTTGCCAACATTTAATGAGATCGGCCACTCCTCTCGTTGAAGGACACCCAAGTTGCATGGATCGGCGAGGAATGACGACACCGAAGCAGTTGGGGCTCTTGGTCCGTCTGAAAGGGCTGCTATCCATTTTTAATGCATAGGTCAGAACAGCCGTGAGACAGGGAAATAGGAACTCTGCAATACAGGAGGCCTTGAACTAACTTCCAAAGAGACAAGGGACAGGAAGGGGTATCCCTCCTGGAAATAAGAGCAAGGGAGAGGAGGTTCCAATTCCCGGGTCTCACCAAAACAGTGCAGGCACATCAGGATTACCTAGACAACCAAAGGATAACCCCAGTCTCTGAATTAGTTAGATAAACAACGACTATGGATGAAAGCCGTGACAGTGAGCTGAAGGGGCAGTTGTTGCGGACGACTTATAAACACTAAACCCAAACTTCTACTTATTTCCGACTACCATTGCATCTTCGACAAGGCATAAAATTGTGTAGCAGTCCATTCAGAAAGCAGAGTTCGCAGGTATTTGGGTAATTTTCTTCACATGGCCGCTGGCCGAGTTTGAATGTGGGCAACGTCAGTCGAAGTGTAGCACAAACTCGGTACATACGCGCACTTTTAACAGCGTGGATTTTGCACTCGACACGGGAAAGTCTGTCATTCGTAGAATCTTACAACCAAGGCACGTTTTCGCAAATATTAATTTCTCCTAGCTTCTGTCGATTGATCCTACGCAGTCCAGGCCTGTCAGCACCACCACGCATCCACCACCACGATCGAGTTAACCCACCGGCCGTTAAATTCATAAGCCAGGACTTTAAGATCGCCTCGAAAATTGGAAAGGTGGATTTTTATTTAAAAATTACAATGACAGGACTAGCTGTCAATTACAACCTGGAATTTGAGGCGCAATTGTGATGAAATTCATGCGACCATTTGACCCTATAACCCTTTACTAATAATTTTATGAGTTGTTGGTGCCTCAAATCAAAACGTTTTTAAGATATAAAATAGGTGATACTGGTGGCTAGATATTTATTTATAGATCACTATAATAGGTGCTTTTTCAACGGATGTTTGACAGATTTCCTAATCCGTGTTCGCTCATGAAGTAACGTGTAGAGGTCTCATAAAGAAAATGACATCGTCGATGTTAAAAGGAATATGTCTCATCCGACTATATCGTTACCTAGGGTATTTGAATACATATTTATTTAAGCATATTTATTTCCCTTGCACTTATCTCATTACGAACATTATTTACTACCAGATGGAAGGTAGATGCGGCAGGCAAAAGGTGCCAACCACCGATCCTTCAGTTTGTGAGCATTCTTCGACAAAACGGCCAATGGGCTTTTCCTGGGGTGAGCTGTGATTCCGTGAATTATACAACTGTTGGGCCATTAAGGGGGACTTTGCATCAGACTGAAAAAACCTACCTTATGCATGTCTCTGCTTCTAAACTCTTTTTTATATTGTATGCGCATGCGATCCCGGATATCTTTGAAACCCTTGTGCCAGCGATTCTTGCGTATCTTCGATTACGTACTGTCACTTAGGACGTGGCGGCAGTTTAAACGTTAGGTACTGATTTGCCGTCGGCATTATAGGTAGGAAAGATAATAAACTTTGTTGGGTAAAAAAGTGAAACCGGTCTGTCCAAGAGCCAAAAGAAGATGATGAACGTCATTTCGAAGGGTTCAAGCGGTTAACTGCTGAACACCGGAAACCGGCAAAGTATATAACTATCAGATGCTTGCCACCATAGTCCCGGACTAGGATGTAGACTTGCCTGGCATGTCACACGCAGGGATATCGATCATTCACAAAACCAGTCGACGCCCCTATGGCAGCTTATCATTTAGCAAAAATTCATGGGGTTAGCAGGTGGCTGTTTATGCACCTGTTTTCTGGATTTCACACTTCCAAAAGTAAAGGAAGGATTTCTTCGAGTCAAACGATGACACCATATACAAGATACGAGAACTCTAAACGATAGGATCGATTCATGGGGTGGACGAAACTGTCTAGTTTACACCAATTGGGCTAACTCATGAAATGTCAACCGAGATTCCCGAAATGCGTTTCGTTTCGAAAAGATTTATTAAGTAGGTTTGTAAAACTAGTCAACCTGCAACATAATTCTATAATATTGCAATTACCTCAGGATGCCGGCTTTCGAATGAACTTCCTTCCTGCTGCACGCAAAAACTACACTCTGCAAAAAATGACTACTTAACTAGCATGCATCTTTCCCATTAATTTTCAATGCCCCTAAAAGTCCAATTATATTTCATGGAAAACATGCATGAAAATATTAATTCTTCCGCTCATTCGGTAGAAAATGACGTCTTTTTCCAATTTTACACTCCAATGAAGGGTACAATTCGATTTTCAAAAATATTTTCAGTCCCCGATTAATTTTTAACCCGGTCTACCGTTACACTTGGATTCAGGGTTTCCAAACTACAAGCCGTATATTTTCCGCGTACGGTAAACCCCACATTTCTTTACGGTACTAGAGGGGGACCATATAGGATTCATAAAATTAAGCAGTGGATTTGATCTTTATTGTTAACTACACAAGTCACATTGGTAAATGCAGAGACATGACGATTTATGAACGGCCATTTTGAAAACCAAATTATGTACCTCCTTCGAGTATAAAATTAGAAGACGTAATTGTCTACCGAATGGGCAAAAGAATGAATATTTTTGTGCATGTTTTCCGCGAAATATAAATGAAAATTTAGAGGTATCGAAAATCAATGAGAAAAATTCATGCTGCTTAAGTAGTCATTTTTGCAAAGTGTTGTTTTTGCATGCAGCCGAAGAGAAGTTTGTTTGAATGCCAGCATCCTGAGGTAACTGAAATATTATAGAATGATGCTGCAGGCCGACTAGTTTAACAATCCTACTTAATTGATCTTTTCGAAACGGGAACGCATTTCGGAATTTCGGTTGACATTTCATGAGTTAGCCCACCCACTGTACACTTACCTGCGAATAACGCTCGCTGCAATTGCTCACTGAGCTGCCTGTACGATCTCTCGTCCTTCCTGCCTTCAGATTTGAGTACCTTATAGTTGTTGACAACCGCACATCGACCGGCTTTCGACGCACTAAATTCCTCCGATATCAAAACCAAATCAAGGCGACCGGAGCTTGGCTTGGACCCAGCGCTTCAGCCGTCTCTCATGTACGACATGTGCTGGCGCCGAACCAGACGCGAGTCAAACCCCTCCCCCCACTTTTAATTAGGAGACTTCACAGGAGCAATCCTGACCATCGAGTTAACCCATCGGCCGTTAAATTCATAAGCCAGGACTTTTAGATCGCCCCCAAAGACGGAAAGCAGAGGGGAATTACTGGAGTGAGGAGAGATCACGCAGCGTCGGTCTCCGCTCATTTCGTGTGTCAAAGGCAAAGTTTCGCGAAACCGCCTTCTGATGAGGCCAGGCGCAGTGGTTGACCAGGAAATTCCCCTCCCCACCCTCCCACGTGCCACAAGCACTTATCTCCCAATTTCGGGACCAAAGGGACCAATCTACTAGCTTAGCTGCTGACGACCCTGCACGTTTACAGTTGCTAGCTGGTGGAACGAAGGGCAGCCAGCAAAATAAACAGCGTCTCGAGTCTAACGAGGAAGTAGTCACGTGCGCTGTAACGTTTGGGTGGTCATCAGTCTGATAAATCGCTTACCTTCAAAGAAATCACAGGCCACAGAGGTATTCTCAAATTACGAATGTTGTCCAGAAGTAAACATGGTTTCACCCGACCTCAGGCACGATCCTGGAACGGTAAAATGGCATGCCGAGGGGGGGGGGTGGCAAGGAGCGTTCATCTTCGGAGCAATAAACCACAGGAAACAGCAGGTCCTGAAAACCGTCCCCCCGAAACCGCTGTCCGACATGCCATGACCTAATCGGTTTTCTTGGCAGTCGTAGGACTACACTCCGCGCGCTCCGGGTGGACAAGTCAAGGGTGAGTGGTGCGCAAGAGGCCATTTTCTGCCCAATCCCTCAAATTAAATTGACCAAATCCCTGGGATGCCTTTCCATCAACAGTGTTTGGTCCCACCCAACTTCTGATGAAACGGTGCGGATCAGGTTAGGAGCCCTAGATATGCATAGAAAGCATGAAAGACTGACAGTCGAGTTCAACTAACGCAAAGAAAATTCATTTTGACCCAACTGTGAAGAATTCGGCGACGTCAGTGGGATTCGAACCCACGAGAGCAAGAGAAAGGCCTCAGCACAGCCAACGTCCTAACCACCTGAGCTACAACTGCCCACCGCCTTACGTTTAATCACATTTTGAAAGAAAGCTCTCAAATGGTACGAGGGACTCGAACGTGGAACATGTTCAATGTGCGTGGGACAGAACGTGTTAGGCAAGGATGCCAAGCTGTCCGGCAGCAACCTATCTGAATAAACATTCTGTGTAAGATGAAAGCGAGCAGACCAGGTCAGGCTGTGCGGCAAAAAGGGTGTCAAGTGGCATCAGAAACGCAATATTCGTCGAGCTTCAACTGATCATTGCATCAGGATTTCGTCATGACGGTCTTGAGGAGAAACGTCGTTTAGATAACCAGGCGAGTGTACAATATATTTATGAAATCATTGGTTCTTAAGTCATTGCATTCAGTGAGAAAAACCCCTCCGGCGATTTATGTCGTGAAAGTCCTCCTCAACACTGCAAGACATTCACTTGGATAGGTCTTGAAGTTCTGGCAGTAATGTTACTAGAGGCAGGCATTCCGATGCCTCAAAAAACCATGACTCAATAAACAACAGCGGCTGGTCCGCCAAAGTTTATACTTTCAAAGAGGCAAAAACCCTAAATCTTTCTTGTGAGGCCGGGCCCGAAAGACTACGTTGTACCGGCTCATTCTACATGCCATTGATGGCACCAAAGTATGTACCATCTAACATTTGTGAGTCTCATTTGCGTGATCGGTAAAAATATAGCCGAAAGGAGTGGTTAAAGGTGGAAATACAGCAACCAAACACTATCTTTTGTTATTTTCGCGACTTACGAAGTAAAGATAATTTGTGTTGACAGTAAATACATGGGGTTGTCAAAGGCATTGGCTATTAACCACAAATATGCTGAACAGTCGTGGGTGGCTAGTTCACTTATTTGGTCAAACCACGGAAAGTGCTCCTCCGGTTATGCCTTAAAATCCAATATAAGTCAGAATGGGATTGACCGACGGCGGTTAATAAGTCAAAAGTGGTCACCGTATCTTTCATCGTCTTTGTCAATATTTGAGTCTTCATTGTCTGTATATTATATTGTTTTACCAAACAAAGCATTTCTACTGACGATTAAAAAGTAGTTGTAAAATCAATTTATAAACTGGTCACGAACTCACCGGCCTCGAGAGGGAAGAGGGCCAGTCCGGTCCCCGTCTCGTCGTGAAAGTTAACAGCGACAGTTTCCATCCATGCATTGTCGGTGTTCCGAGGATCATCCACATAACCTGCATATATCTGGCGAATACATGACGAGAAAAGGCCACTGAGCAAAGGAGATGAGAGAAAATATAACATACAATGCAAAAATATTTAAATTAAAATTACGGAACACGTTAGACGTACCTTTTGCAAGGCCAGTGCCTGGTTTTTGGAAAGATGACTCTAGGATATCCAGCTAAAACCAAACTTAATGTTCGCCCTATCCTAGGTACCACCTTTTTCGACGTCAGATGAGAACTTGTCATAGAGCAAGGATCAGTCCCGCATAGTCTAGTTGGATGGGTAATTTAAACGGTAAAAGGAAGACACATTTAGCATAGAGGAGTATATGAGGTGTGCAGGGAACGATAACCATTTAAGAGGATTGGCGGTTATAGCACTTTCTTAGCTGCACGATCGGATGATTCCACTTTGCTTTCATATGACGCTCAGCTCCTACCTCTAGGTACACGAAACTGTATTAAGCGTAGGTGAACCCGCGAACTACCTGCTCGAGAAGCGAAGACCGGACACCGTGCGACGAAGAACCCCAACGACGTTCGTTCCGGGTCTGGTTGCGAGTCTCTTCATCGCTTGTTGGACTAAGGGTCCAAACGTTGTGTTCATGAGGCGGGCGACGAGCTATATGCCCGTGACAGTTATTTCTTGGATGGTTTTACCAGACGGAGTGCGGACAGTCCCACTGGATATTGAATGCTCTCATCTGAGATTCGTTTTCAAGAAACAGTGATCGAGAAGCCTAAGTTTTATTTCGTCTCGTACACGACAGTTCGTCCATCGTGTCCGACGATGTCCGCCGTGTGCTCCAATGAAAGGTCAAGCAGGCACGACTTGCGCGTGAATTAGTTTACAGAGATAGCGAGTAGACTTGTGTATAATCTACCGAACTCTCTTCCCCCCACTTAGGCCCGGCGTCAAAAAATGCTTAATAAGACTAAAGGTGGGAGAGGGCGCAGGTGGCTGGAACGACCGGACGCGCACCCCCCTAGGTGTATTACCACAGCCCCTGGTTCGCACCAAACAAACACTATACTGGGATTTTAATCAGAAACAACAAGCAACGGGTCAGAAAGAGGAGGATGACTGGGCAACCATGCACGCGACCTGTACACCCAACGGGAGCGCAAGAGTATCCACCGGCAGGAAATCAGGTGTCAGAGAAATGCCAGCGCACATCAGGCTGCGAGAGCCACGGTTTGCTGAATCGTGGCATAGCAGATGATAATTCAATACGCCAGTAGGGTTATGGCAGGCATTCGTCACGGTAATAGTTCCGCGCACACATGATCTAGCTAAACCATCCGCTTAAAAATAGGACCACTAATGGAGGCGAAGACTGCTGCAGAGGCAGACTTCGGCTGCTGGCAGTTATCGCGCAACATTAGGACGCTGATAGGTAGTGAGTAGCACTATACCCGTTACGACAAGGCAAATAAAAGGAAGCCTACGTGGACCGGAGCTCGGTAAGCCGAAAACCCCGACATGCCGGTATGCATCTAAACACAAAGTCAGGTCAATTTGGTATCAGGGACTTTTCAGTCATCCACGGGCGTTGAGCTCAAACGGAAATAGAAATAAGAGCGGCACTAGTGATCGAAAAGTGATGCCTTAAAAGTCGGAACGTAAATGGCCATTTCCGGCTTGTTTGTCACAATATGCCAGGCATATGCAACCGCCTAAACAAGTTCAAGACTGGAGCTCCAGGGCTACTAGGTCAGGATAAATCAATAAACGCTACTTCTGACTAGGATCTATCTTTATGCAGATTTTAGTCATTTGTTCAGGAATTGTGATTCCAGGAAAGCCCGTGTCTGAAATCCAGGCAAAAGATCACTCTGAATACGTCTTTTCTGGCAATACTGTGCTCGAGGAAGTGAAAAGCTTCGTGCAGTTGACATTCAAAACGACCAGTACAAATATGGTGCACTACACAGAGCGAGTCTCCCCTGATCGCAGGTCCTGATCTGGCGACTACGATGCCTCTCTTTCAAAAAACAGTGGTTAGACTGTCGATCAAATGTACCTTAACAGCCTCTGCCTGGTTTACCCTGTACAACATTTGATCGACAGTCCAACCACTGTTTTCTGAGGGAGAGGTATCCCTAAAGTTCCGGGATAGTGCTAAATGGTGAGTGAAGTTTTGTCAGATGGGGGACAGCATTCGCAACTTCTTAATACCGCTATTACTCGGGATCTTTTCGTAGGTTGAGAATATGCTATGCCGAGGTTCAGACACATGCGAAGGTCGTTCCACCGCGTGTCCTACGAAAAGCTGTTCTTTTAATAACTATTCCTCAATGAAATCCGCTTCATTATCCCCAGGGTAAACAAGTAAACATCGTCGTCCCTGAATCACTGCAGTCCTGGGGACCTGACAGTGGAGCTTCAACTGAGTGACTACTCGTGAGGCAGTATGTTATTACCGACAAAGACAACGAAGACTGGAATGGCCATTTCTGGCTTATTAGCCGTCGTCAGCCAATCATACGTAACCTCGAAGTGTGGAACACCCGAGGCTCGAACTCGCGATCTGTTTGTTAGAGGTCCACGCCTCTAACCGCTGGGCCACGAGCCCGTTGCCCTTTCTGCCCGTTGGCTATTTCTGGCCGTTGTGAGGCTGCTGGTTGGGCCCGAGAGAGAGAGCCCATAAAGCACAACGGAAGGAGCGAGTTCCGTAAGAACAATCGGTGAGCGCCTCCTACCATTACTCGTGAGACACCTACATGGCGCAAGCGTGCGTAGGACTCCGCGATGGATGGATCTTTAAGGTGTATAGCGCTGACTCGATCTGGATAGATCTTTCAACTATTGAGGCTAACGCGAAAGAAGAGGTATGTGGCCCGGTGTATCACAGCCATTTATGTGGTCAAGTATTTGAAAAGAGCCTACCCTAACGCCGCCTCGAAAGGACTGTTCCACTTTTTCAAGGATCGCCTTCTTCTTGAGAGGGTCGGCTACAGTGGAGTTGAGGGCTTCTTCGGAAAATTCTCGTTTCAAAGTGGAGGTAACTTCTTCGCCAGCATCGACCATACCCTTAGAGAAGAAAGAAAGCAAGGCAGAAATGCACAAATGAAGGATAAGTGAAAATGCAAGACAGAGTTACTATAGAAGGTCCATCTGCCCACCTCAGGAATGATTATGATGTAAATAGGAATGGCATCGGCGACGGTTCTTGTCTAAGGGTCCGCCCCCGAAATCAAGCATTTGGGCCACACCTGTCATTTGTACGGTCTACAAAGTGGACCCGTTTCGGTTGGGGCGAATGTTCAGTTACTACTAAATTTGAACCGAGATTCTGAAACGCGCCTTCAATTAGAGATTACATAAAAAGAATTGCCATGTCAGTTGCCGTGTGGCATAATCCATAAATGCGTCAGTCACGTCAGGATGTCGGCTTTTGGGCGAGCTTCTTATAAACCGCCTGCATTCCAAAGTAGGATAAATTTTCCCATATCGTTTCAATGTCCTCATAAATTCAAACATATTTTCCTACTTGAAAATGAATTTCGGGATTTCGGTTAGCATTTTATGAGACCGGTCACTGACTGTAGGGTGTGCCCAGTTGCTTACTGGAGTTACTTAACTACTTGAAGAAGAAGATACGATCGTCGAAACAAGAGCTCTATTATCCTGACGTTTCGGATTCCTGTACGAATCCGTCATCAGAGACAAAAGCAGCTACGGGTGGTACATGCATAAGGGGCTGCAGTATTTATAGGATACAGTAGCCATGCTACCGCATACCTATGAATATTCACGGCTCCCCCCCCCCCCTTCATCAGGGATCGTTGCACGGGGCATGATGGCCGACATTCGCGTCGTTAATTGCTGCAATTTCATCACGTGCGTTGGATGTTGGTGTGATGATTGCTCGGCCATCTGAAGCGCTGACCCGGGTGTTGGGAAGAGTGTTCACCTGTGCGCTCCCAGCGTGGCCAATTAATCCGCCTAGACGAAGTCTCAGCACGGTGTATTGAATGGGAAGATCATTGCACTTTTTTATAGACTGGGGGCCAGTTTCGACGATCGTGTTTCTTCTTCTTCTTCAAGACTGCTTCCTGGGACTCTTCTCTTCGTTACTTAACTACGCCCAATTCCGCTATATGCGCATCAGTTGCGGCACCTTTCGGTGAAACTGGAAAAAAGGCCTGCTTTCATTCCGCCAAGCTTCCAGGTTCTGCCTTGGCAAAATAACAGTCAAGCTAATGTAAAGATGCTTTGTTTATTTGACGACCAGACAATTCTGTTTCATTTTATTTACTTTCATCGAAAAACAGAGCTCGTAGCTCACGCGCGGCCTGCAGGCCAGAAACAGAGGCAGTGTCAACTCGGAGATCAGTGAGTAATCCGCAGTTGACACAGGCAGATAAAACGTGTGACTAGCCTATGGAATCGATTTCTCCGTCTGTGATGGCCGTTGAGCTTAACACGTTGTATATGCAATATGCTCTTCCGGTGGATGCAATTCGTCACTCTAAAAGGTACGGCGTTTTCCACTTTTTAGGAATTGCAGCTTCCGACCTGTATTATCAAGCCGAAAGGACAACCAATCGAAAGCCTTGGTTCTGCATGGTTAGCTATTGGAGTTGACGCAAACAGATAAGTGAGGAACATCGAGGTTAATAACATTTTACAACTCCAAACGTAGCCTGTGCAGTTTCATAAATCGGTATATCATTTCCTGCTGAGACTTAAATGTCAAGAAGGTGGGAGACGAGAGTGGCTATTTTTGCACATTTTCTTCAGATCCTAGCTTCAGGCTAGAGCTTAACAGGGGTCAAGATGAGTACTAAAATGAAGTCTCTAACGGTTTCAGTACATAGCCACGTTCTGAAGCTGAGATTAGGACTACTTAAAGTCAATTAGAAGTGATATTCACTGATGCAGCCAGATCGGGCGATGATGTAAGACTGAAGTGAGTAGTTTCTTCAAGAAGTGTTTCCTTAATCCCTAACATCTTACTCATGGCGCTTGACGAAAACGCGTAACCTTTAGTTCCCTGGGAGTACATTTTGATGCTCTTTTCAAGAAAGGACTCGTTACAACACCAAAACTGCCTATTTAACACGCCACTGAATTGCAGTTTTCGAGGGGTTAGAGACGTGGCAACTATAGAAGCCGACAGGGTCGTTTCCACTAATCAAATATGTCCTACTGCGCTCACTATCATGAGGCGAAGAGCGTCATGACAGAGGATCTAAACGTAGTAACTCCCGACCGTTCTGCGTCTAATGACGGTCGGCAAAGAACGAAAGTCTGATATTATGTTCAACGGTCGACTACGAACCATGTGATCCACAGTATCCGATTGCTCTCCATAGGAAATTAGCCTAGCGCGGAACCCGTAAGCCGGTCATACTCCTACCCGGAGTAAAGGTGCGAAGATCGACTTGGCAGCAGATAGCAGGCGCTTCTTAAGCACTTTCTGCCGCTCCTGTATGAAAGGCCGCAAAGCTGTTCTGTGTACTTGAAAAGGAAAGTGCGGGTGAGGGTACAAGGTGGGTATTGTTTCTGAGTCAGGGCCTGGCAATCTTTACGACTTTGACAAAAGTCCACCTGAGATAGTATTCTCAAATACACTATTCGGAAACGGAGAGGTTGGTTGCTGCCGAATACGCAAAATCAGTTGGTCGGTTTTGGATGATGTCATTGAGTCGATGCCACGCCATTTAAGTATTTACTGGCAAGGTTTTAACTGAGTGGCGAGCCCATAAAATAGAGTAGTAAACTAGACAGTTGCGTCCATCTCATGCGTCGTTTAGAGTTCTCGTATCTTCTATACGGTGTCATCGTTTGACTCAAATAAATTCTTCGTTTACTTATGGAAGGGTGAAATCCACATATGCAGGAAACAGGTGCATAAACACCCACCTGACTACAGATCTCATGAATTCTCGTTACACGATAAGCTTCCATAGGGGCGTCGACTGGTTGTCTGAATGATCGATATCCCTGCGTGCGACTTGCTGGGTGAGTCCACTTCCTAGTCCGGGACTATGGTGGCAAACATCTGATAGCTATATACTTTGCCGGTTTCCGGTATTCAGCAGTTAGCCGCTTGAACCCTTCGAAATGACGTCCATCATCTCCTTTTGGCTCTTGGGCAGACCGGTTTCACTTTTTTACCCAACAAAGTTTATTATCTTTCCTACCTATAATGCCGACGGCAAATCAGTACCTAACGTTTAAACTGCCGCCACGTCCTAAGTGACAGTACGTAATCGAAGATACGCAAGAATCGCTGGCACAAGGGTTTCAAAGATATCCGGGATCGCATGCACATACAGTACCAAAAAGAGTTTAGAAGCAGAGACATGCATAAGGTAGGTTTTTTTCAGTCTGATGCAAAGTTCCCCTTACTGGCCCAACAGTTGTATAATTCACGGAATCACAGCTCACCCCAGGAAAAGCCCATTGGCCGTTTTGTCGAAGAATGCTCACAAACTGAAGGACCGGTGTTTGGCACCTTTTGCCTGCTGCATCGACCTTCCATCTGGTAGTAAATAAAGTGCAAGAGAAATAAATATGCTTAAATAAGTATGTATTCAAATACCCTAGGTAACGATATAGTCGGATGAGACATATTCCTTTTAACATCGACAATGTCAGTTTCATTGTGAGAACTCTACACATTATTTTATGAGCGAACACGGATTAGGAAATCTGTCAAACATCCGATGAAAAAGTACCTATTCTAGTGATCTACAGATAAAAATTTAGCCACCAGTACCACCTATTTTATATTCTAAAATCGTTTTGATTTAATGCTCCAACAGCTCATAAAATTATTAATAAGAGGTTATAGGGTCAAATAGTCGCATGCACTTCACCACAATTGCACCTCAAATTCCAGGTTGTAAGTGATAGCTAGTCATATCATTGTACTTTTCAAATAAAAATCCACCTTGATTAAGAAAGGTTTCCTAGACCCCAAATCGGCCTCCCATCTTGGGGCAAATAATGTTATAACGGGAGATAAGTATGATTGGGTACGCCTATATTCAAATACATTAGCTAGTCATGGGATCGGGGGATACGTATTACTTCAAACATTGTTGTTGACAGTTCCATTATAAGAACTCTACATGCTACTTTATGAATGAGCAGGGGTTTAGAACTTTGTCAAGAATTTGTGCAAGAAGCACAAATTCTAGCGATTTATAGGTGAAAATTCAGAGGACAATACCGTCTAAAAACTCTTCTATCTAACATCTCCAATGGCTCATTAACCCAGTCGCAAGAGGCGACTACGAGAAATGGTCACATGTGTTTCTGCACATAAATTCCCACATACAGAAGCATAACAAAAAACAGCCTAAATGAGACGCTTTGGGCTTGACGCACCTAGAAACTATAGGGTCAGCGGCATGATTAGGTCCCCAATATCGCAAACACCCACGACCTTGGATGCCGGTTCGACCACAAGGGTTCAAAGGAAGACCATGCCCATCAAGGGCGTATTTGCCAAGATGGCTGGTACGATTAAGCAGTCCGTCAACAGAGTTAAATTTGAGGTTTTTAAAGCCGGTTGCCCTAAAATGAAGGAGGGGTTGAGATGGAAAATTCAGGATAAAAAAAACAAAATAAGTAGCGTAATATACTAAGGAAACTACGTGGGAAAAGTCCGACAAGTGTACAATAGTTGGTTGAAAATAATGATGACAGGCAAAAACAGGAGAATATAAATTAGGAGAGACTTCGCTACTTACTTGGAAAAGTCAGTCAATCTCAGTAAACCTTTACAAGAATCAGTGAATCGCATCACGACCAATTACCCATAGATGTAAAGCATTGCGCTCAGTATCTGAAAATAATTCTTCCGGTATCAGATAGACTACACACTCTTCCCTTTGTTATTTGCTGACTAGGTCAGAAGGAAACATTTGCAAATCCATTCGGGGAAAATAAACACGGGTGTCGCCACTTAATTTCCCAAGCGAACAGAAACGAGACACCTTTAGCGGGGGAAGTTTGGAATGAAACTGCCCTGGATCCTGGTAGATTTTTTTCGGCTGCTGACGATCTGCACCTCTCAATATTTTGAGCCACTCCGACTTCGTCGGAAAATGCCACAGTCGTCAACAGCAGTTAACAACGAACAACATATCTCACCTAGTTTTGGATGGCAAGGAATATAAATTTCGTTCACATTATACGCCTAACGATGACATTATATCACCGGACTAAAGCCACGAAAAATGTGACGTCACGTTTATTTAAGCAAAATAAACAGCAAGATTTCGGCGACAAAGATAGTAAAAACTGCCGCCTTAAATATAGTTGCAAAATCAAATACGATAGTGCCACAACCTGCTGCCTTTCATATTAATTGACTAAAGTAAAACAGTGCTCGAAATTCTTAAATCTGGCCGCCGTTATCCTCGTGGCAACCCTGCCAGTTGGCATTAACTAGGAAAAACTGTGGGGGAGGGGGGCTAACTCCGTTCAAACCGCTTCTTGGCCCCTTATCAAGAGGGGCCAGGTGCTGGCAGGGAAGACATGCACACATATGGCCTCCGGTTAACCGCGCTGCAGCAGCAGGAGCATATCGATAGGACCTAGACAACGGACGCTTTTAAAGGAACCAGAGTATTTGGAAAGGTTATTTTCCATTACTTGGCTTCATTTTAAAGCCAGCCTGTAAAGCAATTTGGCTAAGATATTTGCGAGACACCGCGAAATTACCAAGCCTAGAAAAAATGCCAGGGGAGTTGCGCTATTTCGCAGAGCGACATAAAAAACATCATTCAGAGCACGCTAAAGCTCTGCTCTCACCCGAAATCTGGATCGGCATGGGGCGACTGAAGTATCTTGGTACTCGTGTAAATAAAAGGCGCATAATCTGTCCACACTACGTCCCAACGCACTTTATCATCCGGTACCAGTGCTCGCTTAACTGAAGGCTCTCTAGGGTATACACAATTGCGACAACATAAGTTCAGAGGTAAACGCTGACTGTGCATACCAATAAGTTATGAGTACAGCATTCGTAACCCCGGTAGGTACATGGGTGCAGTATAACAATGACGGCTAGGGAAAGATCCAAGGCCATAGTGTGAGGCTAAAGAAGTACCTTTATATGGCATAAACTGGATTTTAAAGAGATCGTGTGCAAATATAAGACCTAATGTGGACATAGACTTCAAACTTCGACCATGTTTTAAAGATAAAGATTTATTTTCCTCGAGTATTCAGACCTTTACCTTGCTGTCGTGCACTTGAATCTACGTTTAGACAACAACTTAGTTACAATGAAACGGTGAATACAGGGAAACTAAACTGAGAGTGGAGAAGGTTGCGTTTCCTACAAAAAAGTGACAGTGAAAAAATATGGAGGGCGACAGCGAAGGGAAATGGTCGAACGCTACCTTGCGCACGGTACTAGAACAACAGGTCGTGGAGTACCTGCGGACTAGTCTCACAAAACCGGGCAATGGTTCATCCCGAAGTTGCGGAGTAGCAGGCGTACGCAGGTCAGTAATGTACTTGTCTGCTGGTTGGAGGTTTGCCAGGCATCTGCAGGTCGAATTCGGAAGTCAGGTTGTTGGCGTCCGGTCTAGATGGTACATCGACAACGAAATTGTCGCCTCTTCGGACGTAAAGAATGTTAGCAGTAAAATGCGAAATATGATCTAAATGTCAAATTTATCTGGGCGAGTACCGATCTCGTTTGTTCTTGAGGGCGAATTTGAGGGGGTTGTGGTCAGTGCGCACTCGAAAATCGCTGCCGTCTAAGGAACGTCCGGGTGGCCAAGAATGCACGTATGTACGTGCTTGAAGGTTGACAGGCAAGGCCCTTGATGAGCTTATTTATGTACAATCATTGCGCGTACTCACACTCAAAATAAAGTTGCAAACGTTTATAATTTGGTCGGATGACAGCACAATCATAATTACAAGGAAGCGCTTCTGTCCGCTGTAAGTCAGTACGGAAAGATTATGTATGAAAAAGTGTATGGCTGGCTGTGCGTAGTTATGTTGTAAAACCCGGTTGCCATCGAAAATCAAACGAGCATGTTTTCTTTTAAACATGCGAATTGTGGCGGCCGTCACTTCTTACTTGATTGCTAGTTCCATGGTCGGATATCCCGCTGGCTGAATAAAAACTTCCTACGGTCTAGCCGTGTGCGTTCGCTCTTGACTTTGTAGGGATGGCCGCGTAATTTGTTTGTATAGGCAATCTCAAAGATATCATCAGGTCTCTGTAAGCAATCATGGCCGCGGGTTATCTGAAATGCCCAGAGTAGACTGTAGTTTAATTTCCTCTAAGATACAGGGAATAAGCCAGACATATTCGACTCCTCCTGGCACGACCAGTGCTTCAGACCATCGTGCTCTACAATGCACGTGATCGAGTAAGTCAATATCCTTTCTCATCTGTGGTGTAGCTCCTGGTGTTCTTTAGTCTAAGTGGGGTCTCACAAAGACGCCGAAAAGTTTTCTAAAGAGTTCGGGGTGGAATATTTTAAATTCATGTCTGGTCCGGTGTAAAGTAATAGTTGCCTTCTGGACCATCTTCCTGCAGTGTTCCTATGGCGATGGATTTGTGCTCGTCCCTACACCCAGATCTCAGTGTCTTTCTACCGTTTCCAACGGCTTCCCGTTAATATAATATTGATGTTTGGGAGAGGCTTTTCGGCTGGTGTAAAGGACCACAAATTTGGACACATTCGACTTTAAAAGTCCTCCGTTTGACCAAACACTCAAGTTGTCGATGTTCGAGTGCAACATCATCAACGCCCTTGTCTTCTCTCCGTATTCGTATGCCATTCGTGAACATGAGAGCTTTGAAATCCAGTTCTCTAGTGCAGTCATTAACACAAATCAGGAAAAGTGTTGGGCCTAAAATAGAGCCCCTTGAGACAGCACTTTCCACTTTTGTCCATTTCGACGTTGAGTTACCAGCAACGACTCTCCGTACTCTGGATAGCAGGAAACTCCTTATCCGTTAAAAAATTATTCCTCGAATTCCTATATTCAAAATATTCTGTAAGAAATGCCCGTAGACTTCGCCATCGAAGGCTTTCTCAAAGTCAAAAAATATGACATACACTGGACAACCCGTATTTGTGGTCCCTGTCCATTTCTCATCCCATTAGAGAACACTTGTGAGGGCGAAAGTCATGATGAAAATCACACAGGTATTCGGTCAAATGCCTTTTGACAATGCACCCCATTGTTTTACACGCGATGAAAGTTATACTGACAGGTCCATAACTTTGGCAGTCAAGTCGTGAGCCCCCTTTATGCATCAAGGTGATGAATTCACATTTCCATTCTTCAAGGAGTTCGACTTCTCCAGTTGATTTTTCGAATACTATAGACAGTATTTCGGACAGTGCATTATCAAGTTCTTTAAGTGTTAGTGCAGGAATTCAATCCAGATCAGTCAGTTTGGTAGGCTTAAATTGGATTGAATCTGTCTTAACTATGGCCGATGAAAAATGTGAATTCTCGATTGTGAAGGGTAGGGGGGAGGGGGAAATGGAGGAGACGTTGGTTGAAAAGCGAGTGAAGAGGCAATTAAAGAATGCGGTCTTTGAGTGAAGACATACCGAAAGAATTTAGAGCGGATGCATGCCTTACTCTGGTTGTCTTTCTCCCGTGTTCTGTCCGCAGACCTTACGACAGGGATTAATTTGCGAGTTCTTTTAATACTCCGTATATAACCATATAGAATTTTGGGGCATTCCAACGAATTTTTCAGTATTTTCAAGTTCGAATTTCCTTAGCAGCTCGGTAGACTCCTTTTTACAAGTGGTGCTCTGTTGTTAATATTCGTGTGGTTGCTGTTCGGACCCAGTTAATGTGTAATGGTCCGAAAGCGACTTCTTTTTTAAAAGGGGTCTGCAATTTCGAGTTCAGCCACTTCGGGCGGTTTGTAACTGACTTCCTCCTGAGAGGACGGTTGTGATGAACCTTCCCTTCTAGCAAAGGAATGAAACTACTCCAATGGTCATTTGGCCCACCATACAGCTGTGTTTCACATGGTGGAAAGATCGCAAGAGGTACTGTAGCCAGTCTGCGCCGGATGTTGCTTAAGTGAAATGAAAGCCAGTGTCTGCACCTGGTTAATCACTTGTTGATACAAGACTGCGTCGACAGCACCATTAGGAGCTTCAGTAGTCAAAATCAACTGTTTATGGGCGTCGGGCTGAGATAGGGAACAAAATGACACCAACAAAAACTTCCTTGGCGGCCTCAAAAGCGGAGTCAGCGGCCGGTGGAAGTTAATTCGTCTTTACCTTCGGCTTCGACAGATCTGTCAATGGAGCTAACGTCGTCGCACAGTTGTGAATGAAACGACGGTAGTAGTTGCAATGTCCTATGAAACGCCGCAGCTGCGAAAGTGTCTTGGGAATAAGGAACGACAAGACACTGCACCTTCAATGGGAGTGGTGTGAATCTGCACTGGTCGATTTGGTGACCAAGGAAACCAAACGAAGTGACGTCAAAGATATCCGACGTTTAGTATCAGACCGCGCTGCTATAAACGATCAAATATCCGGCTCAAGTGCGATGCGTGTCCCTGTGAGAAAGAGCTCGCGACGAGTATGCTGTCAATGTAAATAAACGTAAATGAGAGACTCCCCAGGACTTAATCGATATAACACTGGAAGGACTGGACCGCGTCGCGCAAACCCAAATTTATCCGAAGAAATTCAAACAGGCCAAAAGTGTCTTGATGACGACCTTGGGGATGTTCTCTTCCGCGGCCGGTATCTGGTGACATGCCCTCACGAGGTGTTATTTAGAAAAAAGGATTTTCCATACCAGCGTATAGGAGAAATCGAGGATATGGGGGATGGGATACGATCGGGATGGTAGATCTGTTTAGGGTGTGATAGTCATCGCATGGTCTCCAATCGTCAGACGATTTCTCAGGGACTATATGGAACGGAGATGCCCATGGGTTCGAATTCGTTTCTCGTTTCCTGCGGCTTTTCGGAATGAAGTCTGCGCGGATGAGCGTGTGCGGGTTGCCTGTGGCGACTATATGTCTGACTGCATGCCGCACTTCTTCGGTGAACTGTCAGGGTTTAATGAGAGACGAGTAGTTCCTTAAAGTCTCTTAGCACGGTGGACTTCACAATCGACACGGTAAGGAAAACTTTGAGGCAACTACAGCCCACTAAATCCCCTGGTCCGGACGGCGTGTTAGCGAAAATTCTGAATGAACTCTCAGACCAACTGGCCTTTCCGTTATCCAAGATCTTCAAAACTTCGATGGAGACCGGGGCTTTGCCTACCGACTGGAAGAAAGCAAATATAAGCCACATTCGTACCCATCAAGGCTGACATTTATTGCTACCCTGACGATGACCGACAACATTCCGTTATATACCGCCACCCTCAGGCCAGTCCTGCTCGCTTTTTTCTGTTATAATTTTTATGGAGGGGTTTTTTTCTCCTGTAAAATCAATCCAATCATTTTTAACTTTTTGTAAGGAGTTTTTTTTTCACCCCTCAATCATCATGTTTCTCAATGGACTTCTAATTCAGAAACTATGAATTGCATTTTGTAAAAATTCGGCCTACCTCGTCTAAAACTCGCATGCAAATTTATTTTAACTTGCTTTGATGGGACCCCGACGGGTCTTTAATAAAAATTATCTATCTATCTATCTATCTATAAAGGTGGCGAGAGAACAGCCCCAAATAGTTTCAGACCAGTGAGTCTCACCAGCATCTTTTGCAAGCTGATGGAAAGAGTAATAAAAACGGAGCTAATGCGGCACCTCAAAGAAAACAACTTGCTCAGTCTACGTCAGCATGGATTTGGAAGCGGTCGATCTTGTCTCACCAACCTCCTAGTATCCATGGAGAGCTGGACAAAATTAATCGACGTGGGCATATCAGTCGACGCCGTGTACATCGACTTCAAAAAGGCTTTTGACAGTGTTCCACACAGACGACTTATATGTAAACTACGTCAAGTGGGTGTGAATGGAAATCTTTTGAA